GGGCCACTGTCGTACCACAGCCTCCCCACCATGTCCACAGCGTCCTTCTCGGGTTCACTGGGGTGGCCCGGGCCTCAGCCGGGTTTCTGGGGTCACAATGCACTCACCGCCCCACCAACTCCCTCCATGTGGGTGCCCAGGGCCGCCCCTCAACCTGGGACCTTGAGCCCCGTCCTGGGGACGCTGGCCCACACAGCCGGTCCGGTCCACGCTGAAGCCAAGACCCCTGGCCCATCGGCCTCCCTCCCCTGCCCCCGCCCCAGCCCCGCTCCCCAGGACCTGACTGCGGGCGCACACAGCACCCTGCGGAAATGCTAACATCCAGGAAACCAGCGCCTCTCCTCATTATCCCCCCCGGGAGCTTTTCCAGGTGTCCCTCCCCAGCAGCCCCCACTCCGCGTGGAACAGAACACCCCAGGTGTGTCCTGCGCCTGAGCGTCTCCACGCTTTCCGCGCTGAAAGGACCCCTTTCTCCACCCCCGACGATCTGGTTTGCACCCCCGGCGGAAAGCACCCGGGGAAAATAAGGAACGTTACTGTTAAAACTAACGTTGCATACCCATTCCTACTTTTTTAATTCGACAACCAGCAGTTTCACGCCACAGACACGACCCTCACCTGTCCACCAGCAGCCCAGCTCTGGATAGGGACTGACACGCCCGTGTCCGCACACACACAGCCCGCAGACGTCTGCACGCGCTCACAGACACGTGCACGCCGGGCAGAGGGGCGGCATGCAGCACGCACGCTGGCCCGGGTCTCAGCTTCCACGGACCCCGCGCCCGTGGAGCCAGAGCCACGGGGAGCAAGGCCGGCTGCTGGCCTGGGCACAGAGGAGCGCCAGGGCCTTTGGTGCCGGAAAGGGGGGCAGGGCTCAGAAACGAGGGGCCCCAGTGAAGCCGCGCAGAGGCCGGCCTGACGCAGAGGCCACTAGTCGGCCCTGAGACGGCCTTGCGTCCCTACGAACAGTGATGGCCATGGCCACTCATCCTGGGAGTCGATAGGCTACCAAGACCCACACCAGGTGGGGGCGGGGCTGGATATTTCCGTTTTCGCAGAGAAATGTCTGGAGAACATGCGTGATCTGAAAGGGGACAGAGCGACTGACTTCCCGGTGGGCTCGTCCGGCAAACACCGCCTCCACCGAGCGCGAGAAGTCGGCCTCCCCAGAGGTGGGATGAACTGGAGACGAGGTGCCAGGAAGACGCAGCATCGAGCTGCCGTAACCCCTACAGTTGCAAAAGCTCAAGTGCAGGGACATGCTGCCCCGGGCCAAGCACAAGGCCACGAGCACCCAGGAGAGGCTGGAGAGGGTGTGCGGGCCTCCGGCGGGCCCTCTGCTGTGCAGGACACGTCCCGAGACCCGAGCGGCTTGCGGGCGCGGCCACCGCTGCTGCATCGGGAGAGTGCTCGTCCCAGGAGACACGCAGGGTCTAGGGCACCGACCAAGCCCCCCCCACCCCCACTTACCCCCACGTGGGTCAAGAAAGAGTCCTGTGCACTTACGGCTTAAGTCTAAGACATTTCCAAAACTTAAAAAAACAAAATCTGCCTGAAAGACTAGACAAGGCTCCCGGGTCCCCACAGGAATCTGCCTCCGGTCCCTGCTGCCGGCCTCCCAGGGGGTCACACACCTCGGCCTGGGGCCCACAGAGCCCTGGCAACTCTCCCGACACCTCCTCTTCCAGTCGACAGCACCTCTCCACACCCGGCGTGGCCGCTGCACCCGCTGCACCCGGCCGGCCCCAGCCCCCTGGGCTCAAAGGAACAAAGCAATTGAAGTGCAAAGGGACCCAGGGATGGCAGGCCCTGCGGGACCCGGAGGCGCAGAACCCGTCTGGAGGGACCAGACGGCCCCCCTGGGGGCTTGGCATCCCTCACTCACAGGCTAACCGGCCAGAGCACGGCTCCCACATGGTGAGGGACTGCGGGGGGCAGTACCCGGGGTCCCAGGCCCGTCTGTGCAGTGTCCCTACGGCCGCCCTTGGGGGGACGCCTGCCTGCCGTGTGGGCACGAGGCGGGCAGAGGCGCGCAGAGGCGCCCTGAAGGTCTGGACTGCAGTCAGGTGCTGGGGCTGTCTGCCGGCATTGGCGGCCACAGGACCCCACCGCCAAGGCTGCTCCAGCCACTCACGATCTCCTCCCAGGACCAGCAGACTGTGGCCACCCCAATTGAGTTTAATTAAAACCCAAGGTGGCCTCCGGGCATTTTGAGCACAAAGCACACCCTGCCCGCTCCAGGAAAGTGCAGCAAACAGGCAACTTGGATCTGTCTATTACACCTCGGGGCCTGGCTCTGTACACAGCAGGTGCTCCATAAGAGCACATGGCTATTGAGCTCCTTTAGGGCCAATACCCCAGCTGAGATCAACTCAGAGAGGAGGGCACCCCAAATGCTACCTTTTGACAAAAAGCGGCATCATGGTGAGAAGCCAGCGAGCCACTCTGAAAAGGGGGGAAACCGTGCAAGCCTTGGAGCAGGACGGGCCCCGGGTGGCACAGCAGCCGGGAGACGGAAGGGGCCTGAGACGGACCCGCCGGCACAGCGCCCAGGTCCCCACGGGAAGCTGGCCGCACTCCCCACCCACCCGTCCGGTAGGGACAGACCCACGCTGGGACGGCCCGAGCCCGGGCCCAGGACCACGCACCGGGAAGGCAGCAGGCAGCCGAGGGGGTGCGAGAAACTGCGGCACGATGAGGCAGCCCAGGGAGGGAGACCTCAGTGCACGTTTCTGCTCTGCCCCTTCATCGCTGGCGTGACCTGGAGCAAGTCACTGGGCCTCTCGGGGCTTCAGTGGCCTCACGCAGGACCCGGGGCGGCACGCCCTCCAGGATCCCTCCCAGCTCCGGTGCAGGAGCAACAACAAAAGGCAGGCAAGACTTCTCCTCTGATCCCACCACCAAAGGCGCAGAGAACATAGACCTCACCCCCGGGTGACAAAGGGCAGCTGCACAGGTCCAGCCCCAGAGCCACGCGGCCCTTCCTGAGGAAGACAATGGCCTCTTTCATTGAGAACACACCGGTGGAGCCACGTGGAACGCCCGGCCCCACGCCGGGGGCTCCCGGAGCCGTCCCTGCACCTGCCACAGCCACAGGAGGACGGGGTGACCAGCCCCGCCCGCCGTGACATGCCAGGTCTGGGAGACGGGCCTCACCCCTCCTCCGAGGAGGGACCACACCGACCTGCGTCCACGTCACCGTCCCGTGGAACTGCTGCGGTTGACTTGGCACGGGGGCAGGGACCCCTTCGCCTCCCTCACTGAGACGCCCCAAAGCAGCTGTTAGGTGGCTTCCGCTACCGCCCATCGCACGGACTGGAAAATTGAGGCCCCAAAGGGGTCACTGACGCGGGCAGCGGTGCACCAGGTCTCAATCAGACATGTGGCCACAAAGACACACCAACACCCGCTCACCTAGTTATCCTACCACCCAGACCCCTTAACACCCCTCACAGGGGGAGGGTCGCTGGGATGGGGGCTCCAAGGGGCTGAGGCTGCCAGTGACGCTGCCCACCGGTGGCTCCGGAGACCCTGGGATGCCTCTGCACTTCTGGCCTGGAGGCTGAGGGGGCCACCTGCCACAGCCAGCTCCACCTCCTGCCCCATCCTGCCAGACCCACAGCTACAGAGGGGCAGCTCCAGAGCCTGGGGTCCTGCCAGCCCCAGCCCCTGCTACGTCACCCACCCAGGCCAGGCTGTGCCCTGCGCCCCGTGCCCCGGTAGCCCTGCCAGTTGGAGGAAAACCCGCCAAGAGCCAGCGAGCCTGGGCAGCCCTCCTTCTCCAGTCTCTCCAGGGGACGGATGGGGATGGCAGAGGAGGGGGCTGGGCCCATGACAGCAGTCTGCATCCAGGCCCCGGCTCCAGGGACCCGGGGCCACTTAGCCCTGAGAAGGCCTACAGAGGGTGCTGGCCTCAGTGGTGCCCTGGGGCCTGGCCGCAGGCAAGAGACCAGGGGGCCCCTCACCGGATAGTCCACCTCCTTAGTCTGGGGTTATGACTCCTGAGTGACAGGGCAGCCAGGCCCCTGGGCTCCCTCCTCCCTGGCCCGGAGGGTACCCCCATCTCCTTGGAAACAGGGTCACAGCTAAAGGGCAGAGGCCAGGAAGCCCAGCCTGGAAAAGCAGTGACTCACTCCAGCCCCCTTCTCGATGTCCCACAGTGAATGGCCCTTGTCCCCATGGATCTGTCCTCGCCCTGGAGGACGGGGCTGCAGGACCCACAGGGGAAGTGGTCTGGGGCAGTGCTGGCCGGACCCGGGCTGGCAGCCCGGCTTCTGGGGCCGCGCTAAGCTCGTTGGGGCGGAGGTTCCACAGCCCCAGAGAGGGCAGGACGAAAGCCTCGATTCTGCCTAAGTCCCAGCCAAGTTCCCTCTGCAGTGCCGAGCGAGGCATCGCCGCCGGCCGCAGACATTTTCCTGACTGCCGGCGGCCACACGCGCTCGGCCACGACAAAGACCACACTGGAGGGGACCCCGTTGGCTGCAGCTGCGGGAGCGACCGGAGGTTCCCTTCGCACCAAGTTGCGCGGCCGTGGGGGCCGGAGTGGCTCCGGCCTCCGCGGTCCCGGAGGAGGGGGAGGTCGGCGAGGGGGCGGCGCCCCGGGCCCACCCACCCCCCTCCGCCCAGCAGCCGCTCGCTCCCGCCCGGCCGGCCCCTCGGGCCCCGCCCCGACCCCCGCCGCGCCTGCTCGGCCTCCCGAGCGTCCGCCACCAGCACCGAGCCGGACCGCGCGACGCCGGCCGAGGCTCCGGGAGCGGCGGGCTCCCCGGGACCGGACGGGACGCTCGCAGGGCCCGTGGCCGGGGGGCGCGGGCCGCGGCAGAGGATGCCCCACCCGGGCTGGAGTCTCCCCGTACCCAGGCAGGGCCCGCGGGCGGCGGAGGCGCTCCCTCCGCTCGAGGAGCTTCGGTCCACTTCGCGCCTCCGGGGGTCGCCCCTCGCAGGAGCAGGCTCCGAGGCCCGGGGCGCGCCCCCTGCCCGCCCGCGCGCGCGCCCCTCACCTGGGACATCTGCGGCCGGAAGTTGATGTCCTTCAGGTCGATGGAGCCGGGGGACAGGTTGTGCAGGAGCTGGCAGAGCAGCACGCCGTCCCGCAGCGCCTGCGCCAGGTCGAAGACCACGGCCGAGGGCCACACGACGCGGTGGTTGGGCGGCAGGACCTTGCAGTCGATGAGCCAGCGGCCGCACTGCCGCCACTGCTCCATGGCGCCCGCCGGGCCGGCCGCTCAGCGCCGCGCTGGGGCCGAAGTGCGGCGGCCGCGGGGCATCCCGCCCGGCCGCGCCGGGCTCCGCGGCCGGGGCGGGGCTTCGCGCGGGCCGCCCGGGTGCCCGGGCGCCGCGGCGCGTCCCTCCTCTTCCTCCTCGGGCTCCTTGCGGGCCGCCGCTCCCGCCCACGTGCGGCCGCCCTGTGGGCGCCGGGCAGCGCGCCGGGTCCCCGGTTCACACACGCGAGTCCGCCTGGGCCCCGCGCCGGGCTCCGCGCCGTCCGCCGCCGCAGCGCTCCGGGATCAGCGCCGCCGGGCGCCGCATTCTGCGCGCGGAGCGCCGGTGGCCGCCGCGGTTCCTGCCCCTCCCGAGACAAAGGCCCGGCGGGTCGCTCGCTCCGCGCGTCCCGGGCCTGGGCCGTCCTCGTCGCCGCCGCCGCTTTGTTCGCCCCGCCCGCGGGCTCCGCGCTCCGAGCTCCGACTCGGCGGCTCCGCGGCTCCCGGGCACTCGGGGCGCGGGGGCGCGGGGGGCGCGGCCACGGCGGGGCGGGGCGGGGGCGGGGCGCTGGCCGGGCACCTCCCCGCGACCCAGGCGCCGCCCCCGCCCCCGCTCCACTTCCTGCCCCGCTGCCACCCGCAAAAGTTGCGGAGGGCGGGGTCTCGGAGCCCGCGGGCTCGCCGCTAGCGGACCCCGGACTTTGGGGACCTCTGCGCCTGGGGCACGAGGCCTCGCCAACGGGGTGACCGCCGGTCGCCGTCTGGGCGTCCCTTCCTCGTACGGCTCCCGACGATCAATAGGTCGCCCCTGTCACGCCGGGCGCTTCCTCACGGCCCTTCAGGCTCAGAAGGGGCCACCGACCTGACCGAGGCCTCTCGCGCCCCCTTGGCTCATCAGGCGGCCCCCGCGGGATAACTCGAGGCCGGAGGTGCCCGGACCGGGGACGCGCCCGGAGCCCCGTTCCCATCCTCCTTCCTGGCCTGGGACAGGCAGGAAGCGCCCCTCCCGACCCTGCACAGAGGCAGGGAATCCCCTGCGGTCCGACCCAGAGGCCACTCTGGCCACTCACAGCTGCCCCGAGGGCAGACCCTGGGGTCCGGGCTGGGAAGTGTGAGATAAGTAACTGGGAGAGAGGGAAGGAATCCAGGCCAGACCCTGCCCTGTGCCGCGCCGCCTCGGCGCTGGCTGCGGGGTCTCCTGACCCTGCCCTGAACCCGTTCCTGGGCCACGCCCCGGGGGGCGGGCAGTGTTCCCGGCAGCCCGCCTGTGACCGCGGTGGGGGGTGGGGGGGGACTTCAAGGACATAAAGAGCCCATCTGGCAGAGAAATTGTGTGGGTTCTGGCTCAGCTGCCAGGAGCGCGGGGTCCTCCCCGCTGACGGACCGGGCCGCACCCGACAAGTCTGGGCCCTTCTCTGAGCCGCGTGCAGCCGCGGGGTGCAGGTGTGGGGTCACGCGTCTCAGAGGCGCCACCCGCCCTGGACACGCGTGGTTGGCCCCTGTACCTGTGCTAGCTGGGGCAGCCCCGGGCTGCAACCAGGACGGCCCAGTCGCCTCCTCCATTGGCATTCCTGGCGCAGGAACCAGAGCAGTGGGACACCCCCACCTGATCTCAAGGGTCCCTGGGGCCCTCTGTTCTGGGAACCGGCCTCTGCGGAGAGCCAGGCTGGGCCCTTCGCAAACGGAGGAGGAAGCGTGGGGCGGCGGAGAGGCGGGGAGGGCACACCGGGCCTGCAGGCAAGCAGGGGTGAACGCAGGCCCAGCGACCGGTGAGCTCCCCACTCCGGTCCAGCGCCCTTCCTCGGAGGGAACGGGTGTGGCACCGCGGTAAGGTGCTCCGGAAGGAACCTGCCGCCGAGCGGCTGGGAGTCTGCCTGCCTTGCAGCCCTGGGACGTCGCGAAGGGGGGACAGGGCCTGAACCCCAGCGCCTCCGGCCTCCGTCCGGCCAGCCCAGCAAAGGCACCTTCCCCTGGCGGCGCTCCCTCCTCCCCTGCGGGACGGAGCGCGGCCACCGGGTCAGAACCCCTGCTGAGGCACGAACCCAGCCTCGCAATCGGGGCGCCCTACGCGCGGTGCCCCGTAAGTGCCTGTGTCTCTCTTCCACAGGCGACTCCGCCGACAAGAAAGGGGCCTCTGTCCGCACCTCCCTGGGCCTTCCTGCTGGGCGGAGAGCAAACCCAGATGCTGAGCCTGGGGCCGGGACACCGGCCGAGGCAGCCGCGGCGCAGACGGTCGTCTGCTGCCCCCTGGCGGGCGTGCAGGACACTGTCGGCGCCTGGCTGCACCTTTCTCGGGGCCACTGCCCAGCTTCGCCCGAACAGTGGAGCCAGAGACCCGGGCCTCCCACTGCGTGGTCCTGAGCCCACCACAACACTCCCCGGAGTCCCAGTGTTTCATTTTCTTTTTTATTATTATATTTATTTTTAGAGAGGAGAAGGGAGGGAGAAAGAAAGAGGGAGAGGAACATCAGTGTGTGACTGCCTCTCAGGCGCCCCCTACTGGGGACCTGGACCACAACCCCAGGGTGTCCCCTGACTGGGAATCGAACCCGCTACCTTTCAGTCAAGGAAGCCGGGCAACCAGGACTGCAGCACCGGAGGCTTCCTCCGCAGAAACGCTTTCCACCGGCTCCGAGGTGTAAGAAGCCAGCCGTATGGCCTATTGATCGATTTGCCCCGTCGTTTAACAAGGTTCGAGGCTACTTGAACAGCAAGCGTGAACGTGTAACATCGCCATACAGGAGATTCACATTCAGTGCGGCTTGTCGTCACTTCGGGCCCATTTTATTCTACCAGCAGTCGGATCGGGTCGGATGGAGCGGCCGCTCCGGTTCCTGGAGGGCGAGGCGGCGGCCTCTCTGCGCCCCTCCCCCGTTGGCCGGGCGTGGTCCAGCTGCTCTCGTCCGGAAGGGGCCAGGCTCCAGCACCCACGCGAGCCCCCAAATGCTTCCGCCGACAGGGGTTTCCACGCCTGGAACTTCCTGGGGCCCCTTGACTGGGGCGGGGGGAGGTGACCGGGAGGAGGGAAAACGCTGCAACACCTTATAGTGACTCAGCAGAAGAACGCGAAGACGCCGGCATGAGCACGCTCACCCCCCACCGCTGGAGCGGAGGCACCCACCCGAGTCCCACGCTGAGGCGGGAAGGGCGTGGAAGTGCAGCCACGCGGCCTCAAGCTCTGGGAAGCCTGGCGGCTGCGGGGTCCATGGGGGTCCCAGAGAAGAGACCTTGTGAGGGAGGTAGGACCCAGAGGCTGGGTGACCCGCTTCCCCGCTTGCCCGAGCAGGAACTCCCACTTTGCGCGTGTCTCCGCTCCAGGTTCTGCACCGAGCGCACGGCCGCCCCGGAGGGCGGGAGGCCAGCACTGTTTGGCAGGTGAAGGTGCGCAGAGCCGCAGAGGCAGCCCGGGCGGTCGGCCGTTGGAGCCCACCGCCCAGGCCTCCTGGGCTCCCAGGGGCTCGTGCTCAGCTGCGGGAGCCGGACCCCGGAGCACTGAAGGTTCTCTGGACTGGAAATCGTGCGCCCTCCCACGCTCAGAGCGGTTGGTGGGCTGGAGACTCCAGGCCTCTCCGAACACGGAAACCCTTTCCGCCCGCACAGGCCTCCCAGGCCGCCAGGCCGGGGCTTCCCCAGCCGCCCCAAGGGCTCAGAGCCTCTCATCAACCGGGCCAAGTCCCGGTGTCTCATTCCACAGCCCGGCTCCCCCGGGGGCCTCCTAAGAAGGTAGGGGCCACCCAGGTTCCACCCCCCACATCCCTCCACCACCACCACACACACATCCTTGGGCCAGAACTACTGACTGGGCACAGCTCTGCTCTGGGGCAAGGGGAGGTCAAGGTTTCCCCCGCTCTGATGTGCCTGGGGGAAGGAATGGTCCCCCAGGCTGTAACTGCAGCTGTGGCCACCTCCAGCTGTGACTGCAGGTTAGCCACCACTGTCTCCTGGGGAGAATGACCTTCCCGCCCCCACTGGGTTGTGGGGTGCAGGCTTTTCACATTTTTTTTGGAAGAGACGAAAATACGCACTTTGCACAGCTCGTTGCTTCAACTTTCAGACGAGGCAGAGGCCGCAGGCCCGGTTTCGACCCCAGATAGGGACCTTGGCCTCGCACTGCCGCAGGGCCCTGGTCCAGGCCCCTCCTCGGGGCTGTGCGGGGACAGTTCCATCTGTCCTGAGAGGCTCCCTTGACGTCAGGTCACACACCCCAGGCTCTAGGGGTGTGGGGGGGGCTCGGGGGCTCTGTCGGTCTGCGGGCAGGTAGGGCTTTGAGGCCGGGTCTAGGGGTCCACGGCGAGGGGTGGAGGTGCAGGTCCCGGCCGGCCACGGGGCAGGCCCCACCCTGTGTGGCTGGCTGTGAGTCAGGGGACCCGAGGGGTGACCAGGGGCACCGGTGCCACCAAACGCTTCCGTGGCAGGCCCCAGAGCTGGGATGCGGGCGGCGGCAGCGTGGGCTCTCGCTGAGACAGGCAGCTCACCAGTCAGTGCCATGAAAGAGCCAGGGAGAGCGGGCACCCGGCCCTCCCCGTATTTCGCACTGCCCTGGGGCCCCGCAGGGAGCCGGCCTCCCGGGCCCTCGGCGGGGGAAGGGTCAGCTCAGCCGAGGGGAGGCGTCTGCCGACCCTGCGGCCCAGGCCTCAGCCCTGCACCCGGCAGCCCTGCACCCTGCCCACCCGGGGCTTCCTTCCGTCTCCATGGATCTGCTGGTTCTGGACATTCCCACCAATGGAATTGCAGACCAGGGGGCCGTGGGTCTGGCCCCCTTCACTCAGCCCGGCGCCAGGGCTCACTCCTGTGGTAGGGAACCGGTAAGTCCTCCACTCCTGCTTGCGGCCCAATAAAACTCACTGGGAGTGGGGTCTCTTCTGACAGCCCGTTTTACGTGACCTGAAATACCACTGCCGCACCCTGCCACCCGCCCAGATGCTTACGGAGGAGACGCTTCCCATTCCGCTCTCGGAGGGGGGAGGGGGCACCCCGCGGTGCGTGTGTCGCTCACGCACCCGCCGGCCGGGGCACCGGCGCTCGTCAGCAACGCCCGATCTGCGTGTAGATGTCACAGAACCGGCCGCAGACCAAGCCCGTCGGTCCGCCCAAGTGGATTCGAGTGTGCTTAAAAGTTTGCCAAACACCGAATCGAGTGTCAAACGTTGAGTTAATTAAAATTAAATACAATTAAAAATCCGGCTCCCCAGTCGGGGAAGCCACACAGAAGAGCCCGGAAGCCACACGTGACTCGTGGCTGCTGCCCTGCTGGTCTGCGTGGGGCGTCCCCCCGTGAGCAGTGTCTGTGGAAGCGGGTTTTGTGAAACCCGCTGCCGCCCCGGGGCAAGGGGCCCACGGGGTCGCTGATGGAAGGGACTCGGCGCCGGGGCGGGCGCCCGTCAAAGCCCCGCCGCAGGCAGGAGAGCGTCCCTCCTCCTCTCAGCGGGGCGGCGCCTGGTCCTGGGGGTTCCCGGGGTCCTGGGGGTCCCGGGGGTCCTGGGACAGGCGCTCTGGCGGGTAGGTGGCTGGGCCCCAGGGCCAGCAGTGGCTGCGTCCTTCTAGTCTCTTCCCCACTCGGCCCCTGCAGCCCCCCCCCCACGAGGGAGTGGCCTTTCTACCCCACAGAGCTGGTCACGCTCCCTGCTGCCCGTGTCCCCACTGGCGGTGCCGGTCACATTAGCCGACAGGTGGGCGTGGTCCGAGTGTCTGCCGATGGGCGACGGACGGAGGGGAGCGAGGTCCATCAGAGGACGTGACTCGGACCTAGAAAGGAGTGCAGTTCTGATGCAGGCAACGGAGTGAACTGTTTTAATCCTCACCCGAGGATTAGAGAGAGAGGAAGGGAGGGAGAGACACATCGATGTGAGAGAGAAGCGCGCATCTGCTGCTTCCCGTGCGCACACTGATTGGAGACCAAACCCGCAACCTAGGTAGGTAGGTAGGTGCCCGGACCCGAACCCACTGAACCCACTGAGCCACGCCGGCCAGGGCACAACGTGGACTTTCCAAATCACTGTGCTAAGTGAGAAAAGCAAGACACCGAAGGTGGTGTCGTTGGCCACTCCACTTCCAGGAAGTGTCGGGAATCAGGAACCTGCAGAGACAGGGAGCGGAATGGCGGTTGCCCGGAGCTGGGAGGAGGGGCCGGTGGGGAGCGCTGTCCCCTGGGCGCAGAGTCCAACTCGAAAGATGGAAAGTTCTGGAGATGACGGTGGGGAAGGCTGTGCAAGGGTCAAATGCGCCTGACGCCGGAGCCCTGCGCTGACTCGCAGTGAAGAGGGTCGGCCCCCCCCCGCGTGTCTCCCTGAGGGATGAACACCAGCACCCGCGACAACGCGCAGAAAGACAGGCTCGCGGCACCGAGGAAAAGAAGGGAACTCTGTGAGTGGCGTGACTGCCTCCGTGCGTGTGAACCGTCCAGAACAGACGTGTCCCGGAGGGCCAAGACAGGTGAGTGTGTGGCCGGGCCTGGGGTGGCGGGAGCGGGAGGGCGGATGGTGCGGGGCCCCCTGGGGCTGATGCACACGGTCTGGAATCACACGACGGTGGCGCAGATACGAAAATTCTCTGTGGCTCCCACTTTGGGCTATTTTTTGTTTGCTACGGGGGCGCGCCCTTACTTGCCCGCATGACTAGGGGCTCCGGGCCCAGTGTGCGCGTCCCTTGCCCAGTCCTGGCTCCAGCTATTTCTCCCGGGAGCGTCACGTCCTTCAGGTGGAGAATATCGGAAGCGAGGTTGCAGCAGCAGGCGGGCCCCTGGCTACGGGGGCGTCCTCGCTCGCCGGCCCTCGCCGGCCACAGATGCGGGAAGTTCACGTGTGTACACAACCTGGGGACCTGCAGATGTCTAGCAACATTCCTCTCTGAAAGCTAAACACGGGCTTATCCCGAAGTCTCCAGCTCTGAGCCACCCCCACATGGACCCTTCGGGCCCCTCCCCTGCTTGCTGACCTCTCCCTCCCTGCGACAGCGACCCACCTGGCTCCCAACCCCGAGCCCCTTGTGTAGCGGTCGATTCCAGGGCACATGTCCAGCCCTATCAGAGCCGTGAACACACCCGCCACAGGAATCGATGCGCACTTTCAGGAACACACGCACTGTTAATGTTAGGGTTTATTCGTGACCAGTTTCCGAAAACCTTTCTACCCCAAAGTCACGAAGATGTCCTATTCTGCTATCTTGCTAAGTTGCGGTTGTTTCTCTGTTCTCACTTAGGTCTACCGCCCACCCGCTTCAGGCAGCGTGTGGGCTCGGGGTCAGGCTTCCCCTCAGCGATGCCTGCGTGGCCCTGGGACGGAGCGGTGAGACCTCCGCTCCCTCTCCCCCGCCCCACACCCACCACACACGTGGCAGTGCGGGTGCCATGCATGGGGGGGAGGCCCGTGTCCGTGGGCCCTGTGGCCCTGGGCCCTGTGGCCCTGGTGCCCCTGCATGTTTCACTGCAGCTTGGATGAGTCGGGCCAGAGGGACAGCCCTCACACTGACTTTCTCCTCCAGGAGACTGGACTCATGTTCCACGCTTTGCTTTTTATATTCTTTTCAGTTTAAAGAAATATCTTTTTTAATAAGTAAATCTTTATTTTTTTTTAAGATTTTTTAAAGATTTTACTTATTTATCTTTAGAGGGGAAAGGAAGGAGAGAGGGAGAGAAACATCAATGTACGGTTGCCTTTCGTGCGTTCCACAACCCAGGCATGTGCCCTGACTGGGAATCGAACCACAATCCTCTGGTTCACAGGCCCGTGCTCAATCCACTGAGCTACACCAGCCAGGGCTATGTATTTATTCTTTAGAGAGGAGAAAGGAGGAGGAAAGAGAGGGAGAGAAACATCAATGTGTGGTTGCCTCTTACAAGCCCCCTACTGGGGACCTGGCCTACAACCCAGGCATGTGCCCTGACTGGGAATCGAACCAGTGACGGTTTGTTTTGCAGGCCCCCGCTCAATCATCAGCTGAGCCACACCAGCCAGGGGTTAATTCAGTTTTTCATTTATTTATATTTAGAAACAAACCTGATGATTGTATCCCAGGGTATTATTATCCATACGGATATGGTTATTGCTTTCTGGAGTTATACTTTTTACACATAAGCATAAATGAAAGAATTAAAAGCATTTATATAGATACAGAATTAGTACTATCCATGTATAATGCGCACCTTTATTTTCCCCTCAAAAAATTTGGACAAAACAGTGCTCATTATACACCGCAAAATACGGCATTCAGTGGTTGGTTCTTGTATGTGACCTGTGACCTGACCAGGATGGAACCCACACTCTTGGTGTATCCAGACGGCTCTCTAACCAACTGAGGCTGCCTGGACAGGGCAAGCAAATCTGAGCCTCGTTCCTTGCCTTCTGAGAAGTGTTTCTCCACCGTGAGAGTCGCACAGAACTCAACACAGAGGCCGCGTGCTCTTTCCCTTCGGTGGCTGCTGCTGGGGAGGAGCGGGCCAGCGGAGTCTGGAGCCGCCCGGCCTGACCGCGCCTTCGTGCGTGTCTGCGGCCCGCAGCCTCCTTAGGGGCTCTCGCGTCGACGTCGCCGAGCGAGAGGAGCCACCGACGGTCCTGCCCTGGCGAGTCATCGGCGCTTCGGGGTCGGTGCTTCTTGGCTTCGGCCGAAGGTTTCGGGTGGCGGGTCCATTTCTTTAGCTGCACGGGTCAAGCTGCCTCTTCCTTCCCGTGCCCGTGTGGATACACTGTATTCTTCTAGGCATCGGTCCACTTAGCAAAATGTACAGACGTATTGACATCAGGCTGTGGACGGCATTATTTTATTACCTTTTTAACGTGTGCAGCTTCTGTTGTAAGCCCTCTTTAATTCTTTTTAAAAAAATATATCAGTACAGAGGCCCTTTATTTTTTCAGGCTCATCAATGCCGTGAATGCACAGCGAATGGGCTCCAGCAGCTTTTCTGCTGCGCATCTCTGGGCGCAGCAAAGACGGGCGCTTCGGGAGGCCGTCTCGGCTCCCAGAGCGCTTGGCCGGCTCAGTGCGCACCCCGGTGCGCTGGGCAGGAACCTCGCTCTTCACTGGTCGGTGCACAGCAGTGCCCCCCAGGCTGGAGGTGCCCCCGCAGACTCTTCCAGGCTTGTCCGGGGAGCGTCCTCCGGGCGCGGTCCTTTTCCAGCGGCGCCCATTCCCGGGTTGTCTGCAACGCCGCCTGCTCTGCAGACGCGCAAGAAGGTGGCCAAAGGCGCGCCTCCGTTTCTCAAGCCTGGAGAACATGTAGGTCGCCTTAGTGACCTTCCCTTCGTGTCGGTCGCTTTGGTGAATTGCTGGAAGGTGCCGGCTCTGTAACCCTTCGTGTCACTTTTGTGCACTTTCGGTTTGTTTTTTTCATCAGGGGTTTACTACTTTTATTAGTCTCTCGATCTTTTTTTTTTTTTGTATTTTTTACTTCATTTCTTCCCTCATCCTTAGTACATGTGCTTAGGTTAATTTTTGCTGTTGTTCACCCCTGACGTCTGGAGGTGAATGTTTACCTCTGAAATTTTTAACCTTCCTACTTTTCTAAGATAGGCATGTAAGGCTATCAGTTCCCCGCCCCGCCCGCCCCGCATGACTTTAATTGCAGCCCACGCTTTTGATATGTTGTAGTTCTATCGCATTTAAACTATTTTAAAATCTGTATCGTGGGCTCCTTTTTAGCCCACGAGACACTCAGAAGTGTATTTCGTAAAGATCGAGAGCATGGGCTTCCGGAAGGGCCCGCCCTGCGGCCGGCACAGGGACCACGCTCCGCGCCCAGGCGTCCTGCACGTGCCCGGGGACGCGCCGACACTGGCGCGCGGTCGGGCAGCGGGCCCGCGCCCGGAAACGTCCCGCGTCCTCGTGAAGAAGGAATCGCACGCGCGTGCGCCTGGGCTCCGGGGCGCCCGCGGCGTCATTTTGCTTAGTGGCGCTGGGGAGTCCGTTTGAATACAACTGCAGTCAGGAAAAGGGCGGAGCCACGGTGAGGGCTCGCAGAGTTGGGTCGGCGGACGCCGACAGCGGGCCCAGACGGTAGTAAATTATTTAAAAGCCACTGCATCGGTCGCTGGGAGTAAAAACGCGAACGGCAACGGCAGCAGCGAAAGGACACGAGCGGCGGCACAAAACCCTCTCGGGAAAACGCTCGGACCCGCAGCACAGCGGGAGGGCTCCGCCCCCGCGCCCCGCTCCCAAACCCCTCCTCCGGCGACAGCCCCGCCCAGGAGGCCGCGCTCAGGCCCCGCCCCTCGGGGCGATCGATCGCTCCGGCTCCTCGAGCGGGCCTGCGCGTCCGGGGCGCTCGGCTCGGCGCTACGCACGCCTGCGGCGCTGCCATGGAGACGCGGCCCTGGGGCCAACTGGTGCTGTTGGAGTCCGGAGCGCCGCGCTGCGCCGCGCTGCGCCCCGCGACTCCGGCGTCTCCGAGAACCTCGCCGCGAGGGTGACTGCGGCACGGGCGGAAGGGCATAAGGTGTGGGGAGGAGACCCAGAAGGCTGGGAGGCGGCGGGGATGTGCCGTAGGGGGAGCCGGGGTGCGGGTCGGCCGAGGGGGACGTGCCATGGGCGGATCCAGAACGCAGGCAAGGGTAAGGGGACTCAGCAGCAGCCGAAGTGAGGCGCGACTGGACGATGGGGAAGGGGCGGCTGCGGATGCTGCCTCGTGGGTTTTCACCGGGCATCCTATTTTTTTCTGGTCCAGGGCCTTCCAGATGCCTGGAGCACAAAGAAGGCGTTGGTGGCTGGGTGAGTACCAGGCCGGCCTCAGCCCGTCAGCCTAGGCGACCGCCCTGGCTGGTCAGGGGTAGTTCTGGAAGCAGCCCTTGGTGACCTGGGCCATTTTAGGTTCTCAGGACTTGTTTGACTGATACAGACACAAACCCTCCGATAAGTAGAGTGCCAGGATGCCCCGCCCCTTCGTTAATTACCAAGTAGGATTAGGCTTCGTCTAGCTAATCCGATAGCTACGGATACTTTGTGTCGTCAGTGGCCCGTTTAACTCTCTGCTCTGGAGCTAACGAAGGTTCTGTGTCATGAAATCTGCCACCGCCACCGCAGCCCTTGACGACACGTCCGTTTCTTGCAGTATCGCCTTGAGGAAGAGCTGTCCACTAGCCCCACAATGTAAGGCTCAGAGCAGCGCTGCCTCCGCACCCCGGACAAGTCCCAGATTCCCCTGCTGCCCAGCGAGCTGATCTGAGCTCTGCTCAGGGGAGACCAGCCTGGGCGCAGCCATCGTCCGTCTAGCCGTACCACGACCTTCCAGCCAGGGTGGTGCAGTCATCTTCTCAAGTTGAGTGTTCCACGCCGTGTAGTCAGAATCACAGTAGACACCTGTCAGTTCCTCCCCCCAAGGTAGGTGCCTCGTCCCAGTCACCTCCATACCTAATGAAGTGCCCACAGCTGTCACCATCAAAGGCTGTCACCAGAGAGCCACCGGACCTGCTGGCCATTCAGTGGTGGTTCTTAAGTGTCTTCAGAATGCTTGGAGGCTCCTCTCAAGTCTCCTCCAACACCACCCTCCTAAGGGTGCTGCCCACCCACAGCCTGGACCCTCACCTCTACCGCTAAGTTAACTAAAGAATCCCCAGACCCAGCAGGTGCAAAGCACGTTCATCAGATGGTCTAGTAGTGCAAAGCAGTTGGGAGGGTTGGCCCAGGGCGGCCGCAGGCTCTGCAGCCCAGGCAGGGGACTCCGGCCCGGGATGAGCAGCCGAGCCCCGCTGGCAGAGAAAGCCCTGTCAGAAGGCTACGCCCGGCGGCGGTACAGGGACACCTCCCTGCTGATCTGGCAGCAGCAGCAGCAGCAGCTGGAGTCCGTGCCGCCCAGGACCTACCTGAGCAGGAGCCGCAGCATGTGGTACTCACAGTACGGAAATGAGGCCATCCTGGTCCGCGACAGGAACAAGCTGGAGGTCTCCAGGGACACAGGCCAGTCCAAGTTTTGCACAATTATGTGACCGCATAGTGAACACCGGACCCAGATGCCACACAGTGAGCCTGGGCCTCGTTTCCTTCAGGGGCATCATGGATTTCCAGGCCCCCCGTGAAGACGAGCTGTGGTGTGAGAACCCGCGGCCCCCAGGAGTGGCTCCAGGCCCCTGGGCACAGGGCCGGTGCAACAGGCCAGCCTGGCCTCCCCACTGCCCCGGAGCTGCAGGCCCGCCAGGCCATGCTGCCAGGCCTGCTTTCATGTTAGGGTTCCGATAAATCAACCCAGAGGGACCCTGTTCCCAAACAACCTTTCACGTTTGGTGGGTTTTTTAATTTATTTTTTTCAGTGACAGTTGACATTCAGTATTTTATTAGTTTCAGATTATAAGTTGTTTTCCATGTTCACTTCTGCCTAAAGAAAGGGTCAGATCTAGAAAACAGGTGAAAGCCAGTCTGTGTTTCGACCTGGCCGATGAAATGACCACCAGGCAGCTTCCACAGACTAGAGCACTTGCAGGCGAGCACATTCCACACACGTTAGGGAAACCAGACCTTACTTGTAATTTCCACATCAGTTCCTTCCAGTGTCTGGGCCCCAGCTGGGAGGCCGTCGCAGCCCCCACCGCCAGCAGGGCCTCGGTGCCCGTCACTGTGCACACAGGTGGCTGAGGCCCCATGAGCAGCCGTTGTGTCCCTGAGAAAGGACATGCGTCTGCTGCAGCTGAAGCCGGTGTGGCTTAGACACAGGGAAGCCCCTGTGGAAGGTGACTTTCCTTTACTATCGCACACAATAAACGCTGCTGGACTCTCTTCCTGCACATTTTACCCCGGCCTGCGTGCCGGCCTGGCCGTTCTCAGTGGTCTCTAGTGACACTGACACCCCACACAGACATGCAAGGGGCAGAGGAGCGGCCCCTGCCCAGAGACACCCAGCTGCTCAGACATTTACCTTTCGCTGTGACCGTCTGACGGGCAGGAGGGCGTCCTCACTGCCGCTGCGCACGCAGCACACCCCGTGCATGCTGGGCGCAGTTCTTTTGGCAGTTGGGTGAGCGTCTTAGTGACCAGCACCCTAGAAGTGGCCCTGGGGGTCCCCCATGTCTACGGCACGCCCGAGGCCTGGAGTCCAGCTGCTTCGGCGCCCTGCTGGAGTCACAGCGCAGCTCGGCCCTTCCGCCCCAAGCAAGGCCTCGGCAGGGAGGGCACACCTGCCCAGGAACCGTGACCAGAGGCGCCCAGTGGACGCCTCTGTGGGTTTAAGTCCTGCCTGGGAAGAAAGGCGACCTCAGAGGACAGGTGCCGTGCCTCCCGGCTTGCTGCACCCCCAGCGGCCTCGGGCTGGGCCCTGGCTGTGCTCTGCCCGTGTCTGCACACATCAGTGTGCGGGCGACCATGTACTGGGACCCTCGGAGGACAGCTGCCACTAAGCCACTTAGCAGGCAGACACCTACAGCCTGAGGCCAGTCTGGCACAGCCAGTCCTGTCCTTGGGGAGGTGGCTAGATGAGGGAGGGGCTGAGCCTGGACAGCGGTGACATGGGCCAAGGAAACACAACACCAGGCTGACACTTAGGTGACAAGAACCTTTCTTGAAAATGCTGTAGGCACTCTTGTTGTGAGGCCTCATTCACTCCCCACTGAAGCCGCGGGGTGGGAACCTTGGCACCTGAACTCACTTGATGTGGGTACAAGGCAACGCCCACTGGGCCGCCGTGCAGCTGTCTGGTGCCAGAAGTCTCACGAGCACGCACGCCGCCCAGGTGCAGACAGAGGCGCAGGAGGGACAGACAGGTCTGTCTGGAGCAGAGGGACAACTGAGTGAGGACTTGAAGCAGCAACCCACTCGTCTGTGGTGGGCGGACATTCCAGAGAAGCACAGAACTGGAAAGACCGGGGCTTGAACTCTCTTTGGCAGAAACACGACGCTCCCCGGTCCCTCCCTGCCCAGGCCGAGGGGCGGAGCCGTGGACTCGCCGTGTGAAACTGCTGTGTGAAACTGCTTTCGGAGGCTCTGGCTGTTCCCGCCTCGTCTGCACCTGGGAGGGGGGAGCAGGAGCACCCCGAAAGCACAGGAAAAGGCACAGACAGGCACCTTTTTTTTTTTTGGCTTTTATTATGAAAACGAAACAAAAGCCCCAGGAGGAGGGTCCATGATTACCAGAAACATCAAGAGTACTTTCTACCATTTTTATTCGGTTGTGTTGAAGCCAGCATTGCAGTAAACAAGCTAACACTACTTACATCGGACTCATTTGCAGTAACTGACATTTACAGGAATATACTAGAAACGGCACTAAAAAGGTTAAGGAAAGTTACGGTAAGCCGGCATGCACACCATACAGAAAAGTAACGCTTTAAATATAAAAAAGGACACTCGCTGGAGGTGTTACACGTACTGAGGAGCAGCCCTACTCGGGATGGATGGGGTCGAACCTCGCGGGCCGTCCCTCCCCGAACAGCTGCGAAAGGCGTGGATTCGCAAAAGAACAGGAACGAAAACAGAAAAGAAAACACATCTCGCGGTATGTGAGCAAGATGGCGCCTGCTGCCCAGGACATGCAGCCTGTCCCCTCGGTCCACGCGGTCACGTCCCCAAGAGTGTTTCCAAAGCCGTCTCCAACACGTGGCCAACCCACGGAGCCTTTCCCCTCGAAGCCGCCCTGCAGGCCCGGCCCTGGAGCCCCTCCACTGTCCGGCTGAGGTCTTCCCAGGACGGATGGAAATGACCCGCTGCCACGGTGAGCTCGAGGCGGGGAGGTGCCCCAGCCCGGAGGGCGGTCAGTGGTGACGTCTGGACGGAAAGTCCAGGACCTGCGGCCGCTCAGTGGGTACGGCAGCCCCCAGGGAGCCATAGAAGCCAGTAGCCTCTGCCGGTGACAGGAGGCCCGAGGTTGCACCATGGCGCGTGGAACCAGTGGAGACACACGCTACCAGGTTCCCACTGCACTTGCCTCGAGGGCCACATGCTTCTCCCGCTACCAGCTCCCACGGGTGGCCCTTCACGCCCCAGGCACCACGCAGGTCCCCCGTTGCCCGCTGAGCACTGGCTGCGCACGCCCACGCGGCCCCCTGTGAGACCTGCGGTGTACCAACTCCTCGGTCCTGGTTTAAATATGCCATGAAAGACCGGTTTAGAAAACCTTTGAAAAACAAGGGTAACTTTAAAAAATGGTAAGTTTAAAATCCACTTACATTTTTATTATAAACAAAACTTAACAGTTTAACAAACTGGCTCAAAACTCACCCAGTGTAGGATCACCAGCGGTAAGAACGATGGCACCCCACCACCCACGCCCTCAACCCAGTTCTCTCTCCGTCAAGGTACCCGCGGCTGAGAGAGTCGATGCGATCAGAACCACGTTGGGGTTTTTGAGAGACTCACCACCCACGGGGATGCTGCCGAGAAGCCCCCCTACCAACCAGGACTTGCAGAAGGCAGGCGCCACCAGGCAAAAGGCTGGGCAGACGCCCCACGCCCACGAGGTGCTTGCAGGCGTGTCTGGACGGGAGAACGCTGTTTCGGCCGTTTCTGCTCCACCGAAAATGCTCGGGCAGGGAGCCCCTTCCTGGAGCCAGAGGCTCTGGGCCCCAGACACGGGCATGCCAGAGAGCGCCCGGCCAGGCCGCTGCCAGCGGAGGAAGCCTGCCCGGGGCACGGGGAGGTGACAGGCGCCCCATCTAGGGGCCTGGAGCCCAGAAGGCCACTGTGTGTTCTGGGCCGGTGCTCAGACCCTGGGTGGGCTGTGGGGGGCATCCCTGCACTCAAAGGCCACGTGGTGGCCTCTGGGAAAAACAAAACCAAAACATAACCTTCTGTTAAACTCTGTATATTATTAATATTTTCTCTTACAATAGAAAGTTAAAAATCAAGACTTAGATTTACTATACATTTGCTTCCTCTCAGGTTACAAAGCTTACATTACACAGCTGCGGGTCCCTAAGCCGGCCTCAGACACCCACAGAGACCGGAAGAGCACGAACAACCAGGCAAACCCAACACACGGGACGCGCCGGGCGGGCGGGGGCGCCGTCCCTGCGCGTGTCTGCGCCCCACACACACATGGACGAGCGACGACGAGGCCCCGGCGCCGGCAGCGCGGACGGGACTGAGCACCGGCCGGGCCGAGTAGCACCTGGAGGGGCTGGGCGCTCTCGCCAACCACGAGAAGGCCCGCATCTCCGCTGTTTGTAATGCGTTTCTTTTGTTCTGTTTTTCTTTTTTCTTTTTTTTTTAAAAATGACCAATGGTGTTAATAAATAAAGTATTCCTATATACACGAACTTGGAAAACGGGTCCGGAGTGTGCGGCCACGGCAGCGCAAACACAAGGCGGGACACACACACACGGGGCTGGACTTGCGTAGAAAATTGCTGAACCTTACAAAAAAGTCTTTTTTTTTTTATCCTTTTTTTTTTTAAGTTGAGGTAAAAGTTTCAGTGTCTGCTGCACATGCAGCCGCTGTGTCCCCCCCGCCCGGGGGGGGGGGCTCCTGACCCACAAAGGTCAGAAACGCTCTGCACCCCCCTTTCCCGCGCGCCCACCTTCACCTGCCGCACCCGCGCAGCTCTGCCGGGAACCTCCACGACCCCCGGCCCGCCCGGCGCCGACCGGCTCCGTAGGCACACGGTCCTCGGCCGCGGGTGGTGGGGTCGACACTCGGGGCCTGGCCGCGGAGGACACCACCTGCTTGCAAAGCCAAGAATCCACGTGCAGGGCCTCCCCAGAGAAACTGCCTCCGCACAAGCGAGCTTTGCGGACCGGGTGAGGCCTAAGGAAGGGGGCTTGCCAGGAACGTCCCGCTGACATCTTCCATGATTTCTATGGTTACCAGGTTAGCGTCTGGAGCTGCCATCTCCGAGCGGCCGAACTCAGCGGCAAAGGAAGGACTTTTTGAAGTCTCATACCTGCTCATAAAGTCTAGTGCACACATGACAAAAGACCTTTTGACCTATTAAAGCAAAACCGGGAAGATACCGTGACACTGGATTAAAAAGAAACCTGCACACCATGAACAAAAGTAGTAGTATATTATCCAGGAAGGAACACCGCAGAGGCCGGCAGGCGGGGCTGCGCCGGCGGCGCCGACCTCACTCCGAGTCGCTGCTGTCCGAGCTTGATCCGCTGGAGGTGCTGCTCCCGGACTCGGAGGAGCTGCTGCTGCTGAGCCTGGAAGGCCCTCCAGGGGGCGCCGCGCCCGATTTCTCTGGGGGAGACCAAGGGGCGTGAGGCTCATTCCCGCTCGCCCCGCCCACCTCGCCCCTGGCCCCGCCCACCAGCCCTCCGGGTACCTCGCTCCGCCCCACGTGTCTGCGGTGCTCATCTCCAGGCAGCCTTTCCAGCGCATCTGCCCCTTCCCACCCCACCGCATGCCTTGACCCGCCCACTCAGTAAACATGAACACACATCTTATCTACGTGAACTGATGTGATAATGAGGTCGCGGGGTGAAAAGGCCTCAATTTGGAGTCTGTTGAGTCCCTGGCCCGCAGCTCCAAAGGCCCTTGGGATTCCCGGAGGGGTAAGAATGTGTCTTTATAAGCAGCAACTTTGGGCCACACCTGACTTTATGCTAATGAGGGATCCCGGCTGGGGCCCCAGACAGGCACAGGATGTGGCTGGTCGCCAGAAGACCAAGCCCTGGGGAGGATAGGATGGCCTTATGCCTGGGAGGAGAGGGCAGCTCCTGGTCCCTAGGGCTGGCTCCGCCCACCTCTCAGCCCGGCTGCCGTCCGGAACCGCCTTCCCAGGAAACCCTAAGGGAAGTCCCGCGCCCTACTGCGCCGCTGCGACTCGGCCGGAACTGAGGTGGGAGTGTGGGGACCCTGTGGTGTACAGGTAGGTCAGGGGTGCGAGAGGCCCAGGACTCGCACCTGGGCCCTGGGGTGGGCTGATCTTGTGGGGCTGAGCAGACGGTGTCAGAACTGACCAGAACTTCTGGACACTCGTCCATCCAAGACCCTCGAGATGGAAAAAATGAAGGCAATGTACTAAAGGGCAGATGGGGAGTGGGCTGAGCATCCCCACCCACTGAGGAATATAGACCCCACTCATCAGTCAGGTGGCGCAGGCAGCAGCACCGGGACACCTCACTGCCCTCCCCAGGGCTGACCCAAGGGGAGCCCCCAGCCTTCGGGGACGCAGGCAGGCAGCAGAGCCTGTCCAAGCCGCAGCACCGGCTGATGCATGATCACTGAGATGGGACCGGGCGCTGACCACCCCCACCTGGGCACCACCCGGGCCCCACTGTCCCAGAGGCAGGAAAAGGTCTCTGCCGCTCCTTGCAGGTTCCAAAGGAAGGAGGCAAGGTGGCAACGCCCTGCTCCCCTGAAACGAGACCCGCAGTCCACAAAGCACAGGGCCCAGGCCGGGAGTCAGAGCTGCCCCCACCAGGGATGTTGGTTTTTAACACGCTGGGGACTGGTGTTACAACCTAGGGGCAGCCAGAAAGCTCACAGCAGGGGCTGGGGGTCAGCCTGACGTCCCCCAAGCCTCAGGGTCCAGTCCCAAAACACCACTGCTGGGCCTTGCCCGAGAGCCCTCTCGGAGCACTCTGGAAAGTGGCAGTCACAGATGCCGCCATCTGTTCACCCTCCCCATGGCCTGGACTTCTGTCCCCAGGTTACAGACAAGGAAGCTGGGGTCTCATGACATGGCGGAGCCACCGGCGCTCGCCTGGCCCTGCCCCCTCCGGAGAGAGCAGCCTGGGGTATGGCTGTGGGGACCCTGTGGACCGTACCTTTCTTGGCAGGCTTCCTGCTGCTCAGCTGCCCACTGACGTCCTGCAGCCGCTTCTCCAGCTCCTTCTTCTTTTCCTGAGCCAACTCCTCCTTCGACTTGGCTGCCTGCTTCTTCCCGCTGGTTGCTGTGGAAGCAGGAGGAGCTGAGACGGGGAGGGGAGAAGTGACAGGCAGCCGGCCACCAAGTGCGCCCCTCCACCTCCTGGATCTTCCCTGCCCCTGCCCGACCCCCAGGGCTGTGGCAGACTCTGCGCCCTCACCACGTACAGCTGTGCCTCCTGTTTCACAAAGCCCGAGACAAGAGCACAGACAGGACACGTGTGGCTTGGGGACACCCCCCGAGGAAGGGCAGGGCCACCACAGAAGCCTTGACCCTCCGACTCAGGGTGCTCCCTGCTGCCATGGCAACAGCAGTGAACCCGGGCCAGTGCCCAAGGCCACGGGGGACCGAAGAAGGGTCATAAAGCTCTCACTCCACCCACGTGAGTGGGTCCACCCAAGTGAGTGCCACATGCCCTGAGGGGTCCCATGCAGGCTCAGGAGTCCTGGGTGGACCTGCCCTTCCTCCCACTCCCCGGGACCTCATTCCCGTCCTGTGAGCCGGGACACGGCCCCAGAGCTGTGTCCCTCCGAGGAGGCTCGGGACCGCTGACCCTGGCTGGTGTACCCCAACATGGGCCCCAAACACAGAGCAGGAAAGGGTGTGCCCGGGACCTTAACTGCACTTGAGTGAGTGGGGGCAGGTAGCCAACCCGAGTCCTGGTTGCCCACCTGGTTGGGGTGGGGAGTGGGCAGAACCTGGGGCGAGGGGCTGCCAGGCTTCCCCTGGGGACTGCGGAGAGCACTCTGAGGCGGGGAGGAGGGGGAGGGGCTGCGGCGCGGCGCCCCGCCGCAGCGACACGCCCCACCCAGGCCCCGGCCCAGCCCAGCCACTCACAGAACGGCTTCCGCTGCTTCTTCTGTAAACACGACTTCACGTATCTCTCAAGCTCCCGCAGCGTGGTGGGCTTCAGCGTCTCAAAGTCGATCTCGATCTCATCGGGGTTGGAGTCCCTGAGCGAGGGCTCCCGGGACTGGATGATGTGCACCACCCGGCCCAGCTTCTCCCCGGGCAGTCGGTTGATGTCCAGGCTCAGCTGGCGCTTCTCGTCGTAGCTCATGGGCAGGCCCTCCTCCTCCTCCTCCGAGTCGTAGGGGGCCGAGGCCTGCTTGCCGCCCTTCTTCGGCTGTCTGAGGCAGGAGGCAAACAGCGTCGCGGCGTGGAGCCACCGTCCCCTCGGGTCCCCTGCCCGACCCGCTTCTGTCCAGCCCCTTCCTCTGTAGGACAAGGAACCCCTACCAAGGACGCGCTCAGACGGTGCCCCAGGCAGCCTGGGGCTGCTGGCTCGTCTGCAGGGACGGGCAGCCCCCGCTCACAGCTGGGTGGTCTCCAGGTCCCGCCCGGAAAACAGCCACCCGCAGCTCCCCACAGGCATTGACTCAATAGGTCAAAACCCATCTCGTGCCAAGTCATCCCTGAGGCAGCAGGCGGAGGGGCGGGAGTAGAAAACACGGGGGCAGGCAGGATGCACGGAGCTAGTGAACCCAGACGCAAGTGGAATGGATTACACGTGAAGTATAAACCACCTGAAAACCCCGTAGAAGAGAGAGACAAGCAGGCTGCAGGAGAAACGGGACCTGGCCCCGACTGGTGTGGCTCAGTGGATTGAGCACCGGCCTAAGAACCAAAGGGTGGCGGGTTCAATTCCCAGCCAGGGCACGTGCCCCCATTGTGGGTACACCAGAGGCAACCACACAGTGATGCTTCTCTCCCACTCTTCTACTCTAAAATTTTTAAAGGAAAAAAAAAAGGAACAAGACCTGACTCCGAGGTTTCCACCCAATTTAAATAGAATGACAGAAGTAGGCTAAAAAAAAAAAACAACAGAGAGAGAAATCGACCGTGTGAACGCTCATCCAAAGAAAGCTGCGGGAGCTCAACTCCCTTCAGCGACAGTGACTTCGGACAGAGGAGCGCCTGCCTAGGGACGACGGGGCCCCCTGACCACGAGGACACCGCACCTCAAACGTGGCCCATCTAAACACCAGGCCTCCAAGTTCATGAAGCAAAACCGGGCAGCGCACTACAGGGGGGGGAGAAATCCCCAGTTGGAGGATCCAGTCAGTTAGTAAAACAGACCAGCAACAGACAAGACCCCAACGATCACCCACCACGTCGATCTGACTTTTTTGTCTGTATGACGTTCACGCCCCAGGCACCCAGCAGCCGGGGCCCACACGCTTCTCCTCCAGGGCACGCGTGGCCCTCGCCGGGTGGGCCCCGAGACACACCCCAGGAAATGCGAGCGTGAGACACACCCCAGGACATGTGAGCGTGCCAACCGCTGAATCCACGACCGACACACTCCCAGAAAAGCCCCCTCGTATCTGCGGACGAGACGCTGCCCAAGGGCCCACGGTCCAGAGAAAGCCTGAAGGGAAATGAAAGAAGTTTTGAACAGAACGAAATCACGAGGCCTTGAAAGCCTGGTGTCGGGTAAGGCAGCGCCGGGGGCAGCTGCTTGGTGTTAAAAACGGAAAAACGGGGAAGCCTCAGAGCTCCCACCAGAAGCAGCTAAAGCGTAGCTCAGTGGATTGAGCACGGGCCTGCAAACTAAGGGATCGCGGTTCGATTCCCAGTCAGGGCACATGCCTGGGTTGCAGGCCATTTCCCAGCAGGGGATGCACGAGAGGCAACCATACATTGGTATTTCTCTCTCTCTCTCCTTCCCTTCCCCTCTAAATATAAATGAATAACACTAAGAAGCTAGAAAAATGAAAACATGTTAGGCCCAAAGCAAGCAAATGGCAACAGTGAAAGTAAGACCAGCAAGGAAGCAAGGAAGAAAGTGAGAACAGAGAAAAGCCAGAGAAAGCAGGACCACAGGTAAAACCGACCCATGTCTGGCCGGACTCACCAGGAAAACACACACCTTCCCATCAGCAGGGAAGATAGTAAAGGACAACGGGCCGGGGCCCTGCCGGCGCAAAGGAGGTCGGAGGGCATGGCCCACGCTCCGCTGCCCACGCCGTCCACAACCGCGGCACTGTCCGAGCAGGCACAGACCGCCCCGCCCACCCCGGACCACCAAGAACAAACTCATAACCCAGCTGGTCCTCCATCTGTGAAGAGAACTGAGTTCATGGTCAATGCCAACAGTGATGTTCTGGGCCCAGACCGCTCCGAGGACGGGTCCCAGCAAACGTCTGGGAAGGAAAGCCAGCTCCACAAACCTGCCCTCAGCCTGTCCTCAGCCCATCCTGGAGGCGGCCTTATCCCCCCACCAGACCTGGACTCAGACAGTGCAAGAAATCTTGACTTCGCCTCACCGCCCGGAAGGGAGAGAGGGAGTGTCCCCAAATTAAATTCCTGGGCCCAGGTCAGGGAAGTGTCCCTAAAGCCTTAAGATGCTGAGGTCCCCACCAGGCACGCAGGTTGGCTCCAGGGCCCTCCAGAGCCGCCACCTTCCCGGCCGCCCCCCCCTTGTTAGCCCCCCCTTGTTATGCGAGTTGTGGCGGCCTGGGTGGAGTCGGTGGGACAGGAGACCTAGGGGCCGGGCGACGGCAGGGCCCACCTGCCGGCCGCGGCCGTGCTGTTGGCCTTCCTGGCGGGCGCCTTCTTCTGCGGGGCGGCCTTGGCAGGTGGGGTGGCCTTGGCCTTTCTCTCATCCTCGGACCTGGCCTTGTGCCGCTCCTTGTCTTTGTCCTTGTCCTTCTTCCTCTTCTCCTTCTCCTTCTTCTCTTTCTTCCTCTTTGGCTTGTTCACAGGGGCCTGAGACAGGGCAGCCAGCTGCTCGTGCACGGCCTTCAGCTGGAAGAGAGCAGGCGGCTGAGCCGGGCAAGCAGCGCCTGGGGGGGGGCACCATACAGGCCCAGAGCCGCACTCCGCCCCCACCGCACCTCGGGGATGCTAACCCGTCACTGGCCCTCGGGTAAACTGCAGGCAAGGCGCCTGGTCACAGAGGCCAAGAGAGCAGCAGGGACACCCTGGTGAAATGAACACTCGGCCCGGGGCAGGTGGCTTTGTTCTCATCAAGTTTTATTTCTCAGGTGAGGAAGACAGAGGGTGGACCGGCTGCCCGAAGGGCACCAAACAGCAGGTCGAGGAGGTTGCAAGGACCCGGTACGGACGCGTGCCGGGGTACGTGCTCTCACTGTGTTTCTCGTCTCAGCGGCCCCAGGGACACGAGGGAGCCACCGCACCCCAGACCGGGCCCCAGACCGGGCCGGTGGGCAGACGGGCCTCCGGCCTCCAGCAGGCGCAGGGGCTGACACAGCAACCCGCCCAACAGCTGCGCCCCAGAGCCGTCTTCCGGCCGGGTCGTGTCTAACGAGGCTCGTGTCCAGGTCCGATGCCCACCCCACCCTGGTGCCTGCAGAAGGGCCACGTCCACTCTGCTCTCTCTTCTCCCTGCCAGAAACCCCAGAAATCGAGCACCTGCCCGCTGCCAGACCTCGCTCTCATCTCGTCATCCAAACAACACAGGTTGGAGAAAGCATCGGTGGCCCGAAGCTGGGGTGGGACAGCCCTGTGCCTGGGGGAGCCCGCACCCCTCCGATACAGGCTGCCAGGACCACATGGCCTGGCCTCCTGCCACTGCCCCCATCCCAGGCCTCTCTGGGGCAGCTGAGGCCCCTCACGTGCACTCACGGGCCTGCGTGCTCCAGCCACCCACAGGGACGTGAGCCAGCGAGCGCCCCTGCCCGAGGGGGCCCCTCCCAGGACACCGCAGCGGGGCAGGGGCCTGGGAAGCAGGGCTGTGCGCGAGGCCCACCTGCTCCTGCAGCTCGGCCAGCCGGGTGGCCCGCTCCTCCTCCGAGTCCGAGCTTCCCGAGTCCGAGGAGCTCTCCTCGCTGCTTCGGCTGCTCTCCGTGCCCTTGCTCACGGCCGGGGCCGCAGGGGCAGGCACCGTGGGCACTTCTGCCGGCTCGTCTGGCATCTTGGCAAACCGCATCTCAAACACATCCTGTGGGAGAGCAGGGGCCGCTTGAGGTCCCGGACACTACCCGAGGCAGCCCCTCAGAGGGGGCCCCCGCTTCCTGAGACGCCCTCAGACCCACAAGGAAGCTGCACAGAAGGTCGGGCCCTCCGAGGAGATGGCCTGGCTCGCTCCCCTCCCTCTCCAGGCAGCAGGCGAGGGGCCACGGCCTGCTGTGGCTCGGCATTTCCCTTCCGCTGGCAGGTCCAATGTCCCGGGGGCCTGCCACCTGGAGCCACACAGTGGGAGCGCTGTCCTGTGAGCTCTGGTCTGCTATGGGGTCCCCGCACCGGTGCCAGCTCCCACTTCCCCGCTTCTTTGCGTGGCTGTGTTGCTGCAGCACCAGGTAGGTCCAGAAGGCAGCTGTTTAAAAGGCAAAGGTCTCCTGTCGAGACCAGCACCCAGTGGGACCTCGGTCTTAGGAGCGCTGTGGCCAGGAAGCAGCAAGAGGAGACTTTGCTTTGCCAAGTTTGCATCCTGAATCCACCCAGGTTTACCCCCACAAGCTTCGAACCCACAGATGCGGCACTGGCTCCCAGAAGAGCCCACGCTGGGCTCTGGTCCCAAGACGCCCCTCCAGGCTGAGACTCTCCCAGAGGCAGGCCGGTGCCCAGGAAGCAGCGTGCCTGCTCAGCGCGCACACACGCAAAGCATGACTACCACATGTGCATGGCTCGTGCAGCTTCTCAGCCTCTGCAGGCAGAGCCAGGCCCCGGGCCGCGGCACTCGGCTCAGGCCCACCTCCCGCCAGCACTATCACCCAGCAATGACCCCACAGTGCTCTTCGAGGACTTCTGCACGGCCACAGTACGAAACCGTGGGTCCTGGTGGCTTCCTGTGGGTGTTCTGGGACCTCCGGGACCTCTGACCACATCACACATGAAAGGGGTTGGAAGGACCAAGGGCAGGGCCCCCCTGGGAGGAGAGGCGGAAACAGCGGACATGGCTCATGCCTCCCATCCGGGCCCTGGCGGCCGAGGCAGACACTGGGAGCACCTGCACAGGGGTTTCAAAAGGATTCCCAAGGAGGGACTAGGAACCGCTTAACAAACAAATGTCCTCAGTTCTGTGAAAAGAGAAGCTATTGGAAGAGGAAAGATGTCCACAATTCTTACTCTGTCCTCCAAAGAAATCCTCTGATTATTTACTGACTTCTCAGGATTTTATTTATTTTTTTTTGAGAGAGTGGAAAGGAGAGGAACAGAGGAAGAGAAACATCAATGTGTGGTTGCCACTGGCATGCCCCCTCCTGGGGCCCCGCCCACAACCCACACACTCGCTGACTGGGAATCGAACCAGCGACCCTTCGGTTTGCAGGCTGGCACTCAGTCCACTGAGCCACAGCAGCCGGGTCTGCTTGCACAGCATTTAAAACTGCGGTGCCATCAGTGCTTGGGAATGGCCCACAGCGAGCTGAGTGAAAACAGGTCCTGGGCACTGAAACATGGCGCAGCGCCCAGACTGACGGCAACGCGCACGCACGGCAGGGGCGCGCGCACGTCCGTGTGGGCTCCTCCCACTCGCCCTTGGGCCCCAACGGTTATCAGGCGCGCGCACGGCCGCGGTCACCCGATGCAATGTCCACCAGAGTCCTCCCTCACGGGCTCGGGACCACCCCCGCACCCCCAGCACAGGGGTTCACAGGGGCCCGCAGTCAGGGAGGCTGCCGGAGGGGGAGGGACATTAGGCGTCCCTCCCTCGGCGTCCAGCCAGAGCGTTCTGCTCGCTGCCCGCCCCGACCTAAGCCTGTAGCTTCCAGAAGGCAGAGGGGCCTATTTGTCACCAAGTCCCCGAGGGCCGTCAGGGCAAAAGTGCTGGGCAGGTGAGGCTCCGCGGTCTCCCCACAGGATGTCCCCCGAGACGCCTGTGTCTTTCCCCAGATCCCACCCAGGGCTGCTGATCCCACCGGTGCCCAGCAGGACCCACCCCGCCCCCCGCCAGCGCCTCGGGTTACCTGCAGCTTCCGGGCCATGGCCACCACCTCGTGGTCTGGCGGGTTGTACTTGTAACAGTTGGAGAACATTAGCCGGATGTCGGCTGCAAAGCCCTGTGCGTCCGGGTACTCGCGGCTGTCCATCTTCTTCTGTAACACAAAGGGGCGGGGCGTCACGGGCCCTGCCCGGCAACCTAGTTGCGACCGACTCCCCACCCCTGTGCACAGACGCGGGACCCTCCACTGCCGCCCCGAGATCACTAACACAGGAGCCCAGAGAGAGCAGGGGACAGGGGCTGGAGGGCTGGCAGGGGCCGGCTCAGGCCCCCAGAGTCAGGCAGACACCCCGTGCTGAAAACAGCACTGGCCAGGAAGCCAGGCTCCTGCCGCCCAGCCACCGTGGGACCCCTGCCTTTCCCAAAGCTTCCAGCTCGGCACACAGATCTTGTCACACGCCAAGGTCCCTGAGAGCAGGGGCTCTGCAGGGGAAGGAGCTTCTGGAAAAATACCCCACTAACCCTGAGGGTCCACTAAATTCACAAAACATCACTTGGTTTTTGCTCGGTAAAAACCCAGGTGCTAGCACCCTTCGCAGAAGTAGACCATCCCAGCAGGACAGTGGGGGGGGGGGTGAGCACAAGTGCCACCCTTGAGGGACGCTGCAAGGTGGCGACTGAGAACGAGGTGGGTGAGTGTTGCTGGTATGACGAACAGACTCCCCTCTCCTGCTGGCTCAGCGCAAGGCTCCAACAGGGTGGAGTCCCCCCAAGTGGCAGCCTTGGGTCCCCCAACCAAAGGCAGGAGTGTGAGAGCGCCCCTTTCTGGGAGGCCCAACCCTGCGCCCCCCACTCCCCAGGTCCAGGCCAGGTCCGGCCTTGAGGGGACCCGGGCCTGCGTGGAGACAGTGAGATGGGAGGGCGGCCCTGCCGGGTGCTGAGGGCCACCCAGCAGCTCTCAGCCCAGAGCCAGGGCCCTGCACAGCACTCAGGAGCCCACACTCCTGCTGTCCCCACAGTCAAAACCAGCCTGGAGAGAGCCAGCTAGACCACGGGCGAATCCGGAAAGAGGCAACCGAACCATCTCCAAGGATCATCACCAGGCAGAGGGTCAGCAGCAGACGAGGTGGTGCCTCTACTCTGCCTGAACCCTGACAAGAACTCTGTCTGCATTTCACTCCCACAGGGGAAAACGACCTAAACAAAAGCAGCTGCTCTGGCTGCTGTCGCTCAGTGGATTAAGCACCAGCCTGAGAACCAAAGGGTTGCCAGTCCAATTCCCAGTCAGGGCACATGCCTGGGTTGCTGACCGGGGTCCCTAGTAGGGGGCACATGTGAGAGGCAACCACACACTGATGTTTCTCTCCCTCTCCTTCTCCCTCCCTTCCCCTCTCTCTAAAAAGAAAGTCTTAAAAGAAAACAAGAGTAGCCGACATCACCGGGCTCCCAGTGGAGAGAGCACAGTCAATGGGTCCAGGGAAGCAGCCATACTGCGGGCTCAGGGGGTGTGGGAAGCTGCCCCACTAGTGGGTGCAGCTTCCGGCCCCTGCGGATCCCCACTGCTGCCGGAAGGTGCCTGGTGGTGGTGGTGGTGGTAGGCGAGGGGCCTCCTTGCCCAACCTGACAGGGACCCTCAAACGCTGCAGGATGGGAGGCAGGAAGGAACGTGAAAGACATGGGGAAACGAGGGGATTGGATGGAGACACAGCTGCAAACCCAGGGACGAGTGTTGCAGCACACAGCCCGTGGCCGCTCCGACCTGCCCTAGGGAGCCGGCCCCAGGACACTGGCCCCTCGGGGCAGGGACGAAGCCCACCCGCCGGTGGCCGCGGACCTTGACGGTGCTGAGGTCCATGGGGTGCTTGATGATGTCGTGGTAGTCGTGCAGCTCCAGCGCCTCGGCGTCCACCGGCTTGTAGAAGGGCCAGGCGTAGGCCGCGTGCTTCTTGGACAGCAGCTCCTTGAGGATGCTGTCGCAGTGCCGCAGCTGCTCTGACAGCTTGCCCTTCTTGCCGGCATGCTGGGGCACCTCCCCGTCCTCGAGGTCCTTCTTGGGTGGCTTGATGGGCCGGCCCCCGCTCTCCCGCCGCGCCACCACCTTGGCCTGCTTGGGGTCCGACAACGGCAGGGGCGACTCGCTCCGGCTGGCAGTGATGGCGGACGTCGTGGGCGTGGTGGTGTCCGCTTTCCGCTTCACGCCCTTTTTCTGTGATGGCAAAACTCCCCAGTGAGTGCCAGGGCCGTGCCCGGTCACGAGAGGGTGGGTCATCCCCCGCTGGGCTTCCGGAGCGCCAACCACCCACCAGGCACCAAGCAAAGCCATGCCTGCCGTGCTCGGCCACAGCCATCCTCCCAGCTGCCCCACGCAATGGGGGACGGAGGCTCAGAGGGGCTGTGTCAACGGCCCCAGGTCACACAGCTGGACATGGTGAAGCTGGACTTGGAACCTGCCCTGAGCTGCCCTCTCCCTCTGCCCCACGGCTCCGCGGTCAATGGGCTCGGCACGACGGAGCCGGGAGATACAGCATGCACTCCAGCCCCGCCTAAGCAGCACCCTAGGCTGTGCCTCGCCGGGGGCTCCAGAGTCAGGCGTGGCCAAGCAGGCACCAGACTGGGTCACCAGCGAGCTGGACTCTGGCTCGGGGACAGCAGGGACAGAGGGAAACTCCCAGACGAGGTCTCATAGCTGGTGTTCCAAGGACAACTGTGGGGTGCAGGAGAGGGGGAGGCATGCTGGCAGGGGCGGGGCGCAGGCAGCGGCAGCAGCAGCAGGCGTGGAACTGGGACTGCCCGGCCGAGTGGGTGGGCGGGTCTGGACCTGACCCTGAAGGCAGTGGGAGTGAGCTCGGGTTTCTGCAAGGAGAGGACAAGATGCTCCAGGGAGCCTTGAGTGGGCGTGTCTGGGGCAGACACTCCCAGGGGGCACGTCCAGGGAGTGACCTGTGGGAGCCACGACCTCCCCAGGCACAAAAGACCTGCCTACAGGCTCCCGGGCATCGCAGCCATCTTCCAAAGCCAGGAGTCGGTGTCCGAGACCAGCTTGGCTGGCTCGTGCATCTCAGCTCAGGCAGGCAGGGAGCCCCTCGGAGCCACAAGCACCCCACAGGGGTCCACTGTCTAGAGCGCCCATGGGGGTCGCCGCCCCAGCCTGCCAGGGGCACAGCTGGCCACCCACAAACACTTCACAGGCACCGACGAGACGCCAATCGCGTGTCCCAGAGGCCCGGGGGCTCGTCTGGCCGTGGCGAACAGGACATGCTCCCAAACCAGCCCGGCGCCAGGGGCGACCGGCCGGGTGCCACCCGGAAGTGCAGGCAGTGAAGGCCGGGGGAGGGGGGCTGCAGCCCCAGCGGCGAAGTGTTACCTTCCGGGAGCCATTAACCCCTCTGAGCGCCTGCTTCCTCATCTGTAAGATGGGGGAACACTGCCTGCCCCAGGGGGTCGCTGTGAGGGGCAAATTGGAGAAGACGGCACGTCAGGGGCTGCAGGGCTGCTCCGGGCCGGGCTGGGAGAAGTGGCTGGGCAGGCGGGGCAACCGCTGGGGCCTGCTCCTCGGGGCACGACCCGGCTGGGACCCCTCCCAACTGGCTCTCACACACCTTCCCCACTGGGACCTGGGCCCTGCAAGGGCCCTGAACCGTGGGCCCGAGTGCAGCCTGCCCTTGCCAGCTGTGTGACCTGCGGGTCCCTGAGCCTCGGTCTCCTCGTCTGCGTCAGGAATGAGGCACCTCTGACCCCGTGGGCACGGCGAGGACCACTCCCAAGTCCCATGTGCCAGGCGCCAGGCAGGCAGTCGGTGGCCGGGCACAGGTGGCCCAGGACCAGCACCCTCCCCCTGACCCCTGGTCAGGCCTCAAGCCAGCCTTACCCCCCAGAGGACACTCACCTTGACCACGGGCGGTGTGGGAGGGACCACAGGGATGACCGGCGTCACGGGTGGGGGTGGGGCGGCAGCTGGGGGCACGGGGACCGACGTGACGTTTGCAGTGATGGTTGGCACGGGGGTGGCAGCAATGACGGGCGTCTGGGAGACCGTGGGGGGGACATTCTGGAAGGGGGTCGCCGGGCAGACAGAGGGCATGGCTGCCACCTGCTGGGCACCTTGGGGACAAGGAAAGGAAACTGAACACACCAGGCTCTGCCCGGCAGACAGAGCAAACGCAGTCCTTCAGGAAGCTTCTAGACCGTCCAGGTGCCCGAGGAGCCCCTCTTCCCAGCACTACTGGCCCTGCAGCTCCGCCACCACCGTGGGGCCCGCCAAACCAACACGAGGCTGCCCACCTGTGGCCGGGCCCGAGCTGGCAGGAGAAAGCCCGCACAAGCCACGCAGCCTGGGAGGTAACTGCACCCAAGGAACTGGGGCGAACTCGGGGCCACCAGTGACTGGCTGAGTGACCCAGACAAGGCTGCTCGGCCAGGTCCGGCACACGCGGACCCTGCAGACCGGCACGGCCAGCAGCGCTGGAGACCTACCTGCCTGGCCTCTCGAGGGCTGGGCCGCCCTCGGTGAGCCCGTTCTGGGTTCCCGGACCAGGGAAGACCCCAGGGCTCCTAGCGCTAAACCTGGCCCCCACCTGGCTCCCCAGCAGGTGGCACGGCCCCTCTCCTGTCACAGAAATTACAAGGGCCAGAGAGACCAAGTCCCAGGAAGGAACAAAGGGACGCACGTGACACAGCAAGGCCAGTGTCCCCCACCCAGGGGGCCTGCACACTGAGTCGGCACCAGCGAGGGCCGCGGCCGAGACCCAGTGCCCGGGGTCTACGCCATCTCCGCCCAGACGGCCCACACGGGGCTCTCGGACTTCCACCGGCGGCCCCAGGCCAGAAGGATCGCACCCGCCCGCTTACCTGCGCTCTGGGCTCCCGCAGCCGGTTTCCGGCCTTTGCCCTTCGGGGCAGGGGGCAACAACTCAACCTCCTCCTGCGGCATCTGGGCCACTTTCTGCAGAAAAATTTTCTCTAAGGCTTGGGCCATTAGCACTATGTCATCTGTGGGCTGAAGACACGGGGAGAGGCGGGTTACACGGCGGGGAAGGGGCCGGGCGCGTGCAGCAGACGCAGCTGGCCGAGCTCGAGGGAACGCCCCTGGAGAACGTCGGGGACCCGTGGGGACCGGAAGGGGAGCCCTGCCGCCCGTCTTCACCACGCCGCCGTCAGAGCGGAGACCCCGCACGGCCGGGGGACTCCCCAATGCGCTCTTCACCCTGAAGACCCTCCCGGGGACACCTCCCCTCGCCGCGGAGCACCCCACGTCAGCCGGGGCGACTGAGTGTGGGTGTCACCACGCATTCAGCCACCTCCAACTGCCGTGCGGGGGGCGGGCGCCCGGAGTTTTCCACCTGCACCGGCTCCAACGGGGTTTCTACAGGGAAGGTGTCTAGGGCCAAGGGTACGGCGTTTCCCGTTTTTATTTTTACTTTTCGTTTTAGAAAGAGAAACGGAGGAAAAAGAGGGAGAGAAACGTCCATGTGAGAAGCATCACTGAGAGACAGAAACATCAACTGGCTGCTTTCCACACACGCCCGACCGGGGAACCAATCCTGCAACCCAGGCCTGTGCCCTGACCAGGAATCGAACCCAGGACCCTTGGGATTGTGAGACAGCTGTGTGACCTGCGGGGCCCTGTGACCCACAGGGCCGTGGCTGTGGATTGTTTTCAAGGGTCTGGTCTGCGTCACCTTCGTCTCAAAAGGCTCTTACTGCCTCGAGCACAGACGCGGCCCGCACGGGGCTGTGTGTGGGGGCCGCACGTGTCGGCCCGACCCGCTGAGCCCACCTGAGGGCCACGGCCAAGTGCCTGGCCCCCCCGGCCCCGCCCCCCGCACCTGCCCCGCCCTGTGGCCTCACCTTGTTGTAAATGTAGCAGTTTGTGAACATGGTGTTGAAGTCCTGCATGCACTCGCTCGCGCTCCAGTAGTAACTATTCTCCAGCCTCCTCCTGATGGTCCCCATGTCCATCGGGCTCTTTATTATCTTATGGTAATCCTGGGGGAGGTTTTCGCAGGCGTTACTGGCGGGTTCAACGGGAGGACCTCACAAACCCTGAGGGCAATGGCCTTGTGCTGCTCGGCCTTCCCAGCCTCACTGGGGCCGGGGCTGGCCTGAGGGCAGGTGGCCGCTGGCCTCTGCCCGGGCAAGGGCTTTGCGTGGGTGCAGGTCCACACTCTGAAGACCGGGGTGGGGGGGTCCAGCACCACCCCCACGCCAAACCTCGCTCAAGGCCCCTGGGGAGATGGGCTGAGCCGGGGCCAGAGCCCAGCCGCCAAGTGCTGACAGCCTGCAACACCCGGGGTTCCCTACTGGGGACCAAGGAGGAGCCGCCGCGCGGAAGCTCTGCACTGAGCAGCAGCCGGGGCGGTGGGTCCGGGGGCACGGGGCGGCCGGGAAGGAGCGGAAGGCTGTCCCTGCACCTGCGGGCAGATGCCCACCATCCTCCGTGCTGCAGGCAGGGGCTGTGCCAAACTACCCGCACAGCCGAGGCTCGGGTACCGCCTGTGCCCACGCCCGCCCACGCGCCGGGGCCATGGGCACTCACGGGCAGGTTCAGCTTGATGGCGTCCACGGGCTGGTAGAAGGGCCAGGCGAACTGGTGCTTCCAGAGCGTCTTCACCACCACGTTCTGCATGTACTGCAGCTGGTTGGTCTTGCGGCCGGGCTTGGCAGGGTTGGACACCTCCGGCGGGGGCGGGTTCACGGGGCCCGGGGCCACCGGCATCCCCGGGGGCGTGGCCGTCGTCGTGGCGGACATCCTCCGGCAGCGTGCTCACTGGCCGTCACAGCAGTGGCTCAGGGAGGCCCTCGCACCCTCCGTGCTGCCCGCAGAGGCGCGGCATCCCGGTTCCAGGCCGGACCAGGCAGCACCTGCCAGGGGGAGGGACGGTTACCCGGGCCTGCCGCCTTCCCAGCCTCCACGGCCCCCGGCAGTCCCGTGTGCCGCGGTGGAGCCCCGTGCCTTGGCCCAGCCTGTGCTCACCTGCCACTCAACCACTCTCTGCTGCTGTCAAGCTGGGGGACAGGGAGGCGCAGGGAACAAGCAATCACACGAGCACCGGCCACCTGGGCAGGTGGGGCAGCCCAAGGGTGGGGAGGTGGCTGCAGGCAGGGAAGGCCAAGGGCTGAACTGGGCTCACTGGCCACTGCCCGTCCACCCGCCTGCCAGAGCTCAGGCGGCACTGTGGTGACTTCGTAGGGAACGTCACAGCAGACCCCACAGAGCCGAGCCTGGCAGGCACAGCCCCTCTGGTCGGGTTCCGCCGTGACCGCGACAACTGAGGGCCGGCTCTGGGTTTGTGATGGCTGGCCGGCTGTGACACCGCTGGCCCTCAGCCAATCGGGAGGGCAACCTCAGTGAGGGCCCAGTGACTGATGGGACGGCGGGAGGCGGCTGCAGACCTTGCCCAGCACTGTGGCCATCAGGAGAGTGTGGAGCTGGACAGGAAGCAGCATCACAGCCCCAGAGGTGGCCAGGACACCGACTCGACCCAGAGGGGCGTCACCCAGTGCGAGAGCGCACAGGGCACCCCAACATCTCCAGGGCGGGAACCAGTTCCACCCGCAGGGCAGGCGCGGTGGCCACTCGCAGCTTCTCCCTCGCGTCCCTCCCCTCACACAGGTCGGGGCTGGTGACCGTGCCAGCACGTGAGGGGACGGGTGGCCTTTGGGAGGACCAGCCACCCCAGGACTCACAGTGGCAGGTCAGGGACACCTGGAGACCTTCCTGAGTTCCCCAGGGCCCCGGGGCCTCTGCACCAGCGGCAGGAGCCACAGTCAAGGCCGTCGCCCAGAGCACTGGCTGGGAAACAGACCCCCACTCTCCCCCACCACAGCCCCGAGCGAAGGGGGCTCAAAGGAGCCTCGGACACACCGCACCCACCAAGCAAGCCTGCCCGCCCCGAGAAGCGACCCTTCCAGCCCCCCAGGACATCGGATCACCCACCAGGTGCCCAGCCCTGCCTTCCACGCCCCCTGGCGGCCAGCCGGAGCCAGTGGGCAGGTCACACAGTGTCATGGCCCCAGGCTGGTGGCTCCCTGGGGACCTCGGCGGTGTCAGCCAGTGCTAATGGCACCAAAGCTGTGTCTGCACCACCAGGACGCCCCTGAGCCCAGAGACCTGGCTCCGTAGCACCTCGCTGCCCAGCGCCCACGGCCTGCAGGTCAGCGCATCCCAACTCTGCCCCATGTGACGACTGGTCTGAGCACCGCCGCCCCCTGCTGGCATCTCCACGAAGCCCCTCAGGGGTCCACCCTCCCCACTCAAGACCCTCAGGGGCTCCATCACTCAGCATCAGAGCACCGTCCCCGCTCTGGCCAGCTGCGCCCAGTGTGGCCAGTGACTCATATCCCGGTCCCAGCTGCTGTGATGGCAGCGGCCCACGCCCTCCTCACACCCCGCCTCTTCTGGGGCCCCCACCCCACCTCTTCTGGGGCCCCCTGCTCCAACACCAGCACCCACAGAGGCCCGGGTATCCGAGGCCGCAGAAGACAGCCTCCCGGTGCTGGTCCCAGCCCCGGGCCCCCATGAGGCTCTTTAAGACCCAAGGGATCCGACACCGCCCGCAGGCCAGGGCCAGGCCAGCAGCAAGTCCCGCACGCGCCTGCTGCTTTGCCCGCTGCCTGCGCAACGGCCCCCCGACCCGGCAGCAGAGGCGGGGGGGGGGGGCAGCAGGCTCCGACCCACTGCCAGTGCCGGGTGGGGAGGCACCTGGCGCTGCTGCACGGCCCAGAGAGCCAGGAAACGGGCAGGGACTGGACAGGACCTGGGCACTCGGAGCCTGGAAAAGGCCAAGGCGAGACCAGCCTCCCCGAGCCCCAGGACAGACAGGCGTGGCTCACTGCAGGGACCAGCTCCGCACACGTGGCTGAGCAGGAAGACGGCGCCAACCTCGGCCGCAGGGCGCATCCCGATCGGACGCACAGGGCGGCACAGCAGCCGGAGGGGGCCTGAGTGGACAGATGGGGCGGGACCCACGAGAGGCGCCTGAGAGTGTGGGGCCGCACCACTCACGTGCCCTGAACCCAATGCCGGTTACTGTGGGCCACCGGGAGCCCTTCCCCCACGGCCTGGGGGGCTCCCCTCTTCCGAAGAGGTGGGTGCCTCACCCCAACACCCCACAGCCCGAGACCCCCTGCAAACATGTGGCAGGCCTGCCTCCTGCCTCAGAGTCCCCTCCTGGCTTGTCCTTTGGCCCCGGCGCCAGCTCGGCAGGGAGGAGAGACAGCCAGCCTGTAACGCCGCCCAGGAGAGAGGGAAGCTGAGAGGGCCCCCTGGCCATAAAGTGGCACGGGCCACCCCTCCCTGTCCCCTCCCGGGGTGGCGGGCAGAGCAAAGGAGACCAGCCCTGACCGGCGTGGCTCCCCGGGCTGAGTGTGGTCCCACAAAGCAAAAGGTCGGCCGTTCGGTTCCCAGTCAGGGCACAGGCCTGGGCCGGGTCCCCCACTGGGGGGGTGTGTGTGCGAGAAGCAACCACTCGTTGACATTTCTCTCCCTCTCTCCCTTCCTCTATAAAAGTAAATAAAAAATTGCGGTTCGATTCCCAGTCAGGGCACATGCCTGGGTTGCAGGCCGGTTCCCTGCAGGCCAGTTCCCAGCAGGGGATGCGCAAAGGGCAACCATACATTGATGTTTCTCCTTCCTTTCCCCTCTAAAAATAAATAAATAAATTTAAAAAAAAAGTAAATAAAGTCTTTAAAAAGAAATGCAAAGGAAACACACAAGCTGATTGGGGTTCCGCACCAGGCAGCAGTGTGCTCCCTTAGAGGGGAGACCCAAGGGCGCCCCCCTAAGAGGGGCCGCAGCACCACCCCAGGCCTCTGCCTCGGCAGGGGCTGCAGCCCCGGGGCCGGCATCCCCGCTTCTCCCCGCCTGCCCGACCGGTCCCACCAGAGCCCACTGGTCAGCGCCAGGCCGGGGCGCTCAGAGGGAATCCACCAGGCCTGGTGGGGAAGCGAGGGGCCAGAGACCCGGCACCTTCCGCCCAGACACAGCACAGAGCCCAGTGGCAACTCCGGCCGATGCCCAAAGCAAACGGGGCGGGGGGGGGGGGGGGCGGGGGGTGTTCCTGGGGGTCCACACACAGGAGGAGAACTTCCCCGGTGTCAAGTCCCCGGCAGCCCCTCAGGTTGGTGGCCCGCAGTCTGCAACTCCACAGCTGTTGACCGTCCCCTCTCCTCCCCATGGGGGTGGCAGGGCAGCTCTGGGCGTCTGCACCCCACCCACCACACGCCTGCAGTGGCGGCCACCTCACTCCAGAGAGCTGCTTATTTATTCGCAGACGACGCTCCCTGGTGCGGTGTGCGGTTGTGGAGGAGGGACTCCGAGGCGGTCGGCCCGCAGCAGGGAGGTGGGGCTCCCTCGGGCACAGCCCGGCAGGGTCGGGCCCAGTTCCTAAGAGGGACACTGAGGCTCTGAGAAGGGCCCCCACTCCCCGAGGCCGGACCAAGGGCAGGGCAGCACCTGCAGCTCCGGGGAAAGTCGGACGACCCGCCTTTGACAAGGGAGAGTCCGAAACCACCCAGAGCGGAAACGCAGACAAACCGCAAAGCCCTCGAACCATCAGGCAAAAAATCCCAGACCTGCGGTTCTGGCAAAGTCCTGAACGAAGGACCCCGAGGGCCAGGTGGAGGTTTCCAGAGTGGGCGGCCAGCAGAGGCGGGGTGCCTGGCTGCTCCAGGTCACACACACCCCACGCCACAAGCTGCACCCCACACCACCCGGCCCGGCCCCCACCCGCCCAAGGCCAGGAGAGCTTGCCCGAGTCTCCCGGCTGCAAGGTGGAACCGGCCTGGTCGCTGAACCCCTTCCCAGGTCCCTGAACTCTGGGACTCGACTCTAACACAGACACCCAGCCCCTGTCCCCCTGCTCAGCCCAGAGGGACCCATCAGCATCCGGGACAAAACAGGCAGCAGATGGGAACCTCTGGACACCACCACGGTACAAACACCCGGAGGATTCGGCAGCAGCCGCCCCGGCCCTCCTGCCACAAGGCCACACCTGGGCAGAGCCGGGCATTCTGGGACAGCCCACCCCCAGGGGTGGCGGGGGATGCCAGCCTCCAGCCACCAGGTGGACAAGCCCTGGAAGGTGGGCCAGGAGCCGGGAGCCCTCACTGGGCCGGCGGGGATGGGGGAGGGACACCAAGGAAGGGGCCAGGCCGTCACCAGTCTGCAGGACACGGGTTGGAGGACACAAGGGTCCCAGCAGGCTCCCCGTGGGGGCCGGAGGGGCAGGCTCCTGTGTCCGGTCCAGGGCGGAGGTGTGTGGGGACAGCGTGGGGTGGGCGGCAGAGGCAAAGAGAAAGCCGGGGAGCGAGCACCCACCTCAGCAGGGGGGTCGGGGCCTGCTGGGACCTCGCCCTTCCCCCCTGCCCTGTTCAGGGAAACCAACCCTGCCAGCAGCAAGACTGGCCTCCTGGGGGGCCTGGGGCCCCACCTCCTGGTGCCCTGGCTTGGCTTCGTGGGGGTCACGGGAGCCCCAATGTCCCAGGGGAGGCTGAGAGATGAAGGGGAACAAAGCCACCCAGGTCCTCTACGAGGCCACCCCCCACCCCAGACCCCGTGCTACCACCTCTCACGGCCCCCTCTCAACAATCCCACCCCTGGCCCAAGGAGCTGAGGCTGCAGAAGGCGCTGGCCTGAGGGAGGCCGCCGGGGCGCCCGGACCCCAGGTGGCCAGGCCAGTCCCACCAACCAGCCCAGTGGCTGCCCTGGAGCCTCGGGCCTCAGGAAACAGGATCCGGGAGGGGAGGGGAGGGGAGGGCGGGGCTTCAGTGATGGACGGAGCCAACTGCTGCCTTCCGTGGGGCTGGGGGCCCCAGGGCGGCCACCGGAGGAGCCCCAGGGGAGGGAGGGCGGGCAGGCGCGGGCCAGGAGCACACCTGGACAGGCAGGAAACGGGGCCACCACGCTGTCACCCAAGGGGCCTCTGACACTGCAAGGCAGCCCCAACCACCCCAACCGGGCCCCACGCTTGCCCTGGGGCCAGAGCACGGCTGGCCCCCCACAGAAGGGCCCCAGGAGCCCCGCCCGCAGCCTGTGAGCCACTCCACAAGCACCCAGCACGGGGCCCTCCCGCCACGAGGCCACACCTCGGCACAGCCGCAGGCAGAGCTGTGCTCTAGGACAGCCGGCCCCCAGGGGTGTGGGGAGGTGGGCGAGGGGGAGATGAAGCCCAGAAGGCGGGCAGGGGTCGGACCCTGGGGCGATTCCCTGGATCTGGAGGACTGTCCGGCAGCCGTGGCGCCCTTTGCCCACGACTCCACACCCACGGCTCCTGCAGGACCGGGCACCCTCACGGAGGATGGCTTCCTTTCTGGCCAGAACATCAACTCCACGTGGGCCCACAACTCCCGCTGTGGCAGCACCGCCGACCCCGCCGAGCACAACTCGCTGCTCACCCTGGGGGCCAGGCCAGCCGCAGCCTCGCCTGCAGGGACCAGGGCTCAGCGTGCCCTCGGCTGCACCAACCCAGAACCTTCCAGAGCACAGCCCGGCCGGGTCTGCCCAGGGCCAGTCTCCACACTCACAGGAGCAGGGCTGTGAGCGCAGCAGGGCCCGGACCCCCGACCAGAAACAAAGTCTCCAGCAGGTGCCACTTCTTGGCCTGCACACCAAACCAGAGCCCAGGACCCAGGAAGGTCGCAGCCGCATGCACTCGTGCCCGCAACAGGGCCCTGAACCCCTGAACGCCCCTCCCCTGCAGGGGCTGGCTGTCCTGCACACAGTGCTGCCCTTCCTCTCGGGACCTGTCCCCCCAGGACCACAGAG